TACAGCAGGCTCAATTCAGGATCAAGCTCTGATATGAAGAACCACCATCTATAGTTTCTGAAATCATAAATCACCTCTCACAAAGCTACTGTGCATAAGGGCGCGAGGTCCGAGGGCGGCGCTGTGGCAGAGTAGGAGTTCGGCTGCCACCTCCGTAGGCAGCGCCGAGGAAGAGAGCAAAATTAGCCATCTTAACAGTTTCTAAGTGTACATTTCCATGGCATTGAACAGGAGTACATTCGCACGGTTGAGCAATCATCCATCTCCAGAATTCTTTTCAACCTGTGCAACTGAAACTCCGTACTCATTAGACACTAATTCCCTGTCCCCAGCCCCACGCCCACCCAGAGCCCCTGGCAGCCACCATTCTACTTTGTCTCTATGAATTTGACTACTCTGGATACCTGATATAAGTGGAATCATATAGTATTTGTCTTCTCGTGATTGGCTTATTTCACTTTGCATAATGTTGTGGCATGTGTCAGAATTTCCTTTGTTTTAAGGCTGAATAATATTCCGTCTAAGGTACATACCACATTTTGCTATCCATTCATCCGATGATGGACACGGGTTACTTCCATGTTTTTTTATAATCCATCTTTATAACCATAGATCCCTCCCAACAAAATGTTTTGCTCATTGTTCAAGTTAATTGTTAAACTGAATAAATCAATATAGTATGTAAGTGACAGTTGAAAGTAGCTTAAATAATTGATGTAGCACACATTCTGAATCAGATCTGGGTGTCAAAGCCAAAAATCCACCTTGGCCTACTTTTCCAGGGAAGAGCAATGTCGTAGGGGACTTTCCCTACCAGGAAAACCCAAATTTACAACCCCTTTGGGAGTGGGGTTTCTGTATTGGGCCATGTTGCTGCTGCAAGATGATGGAGATGCCACCTACAGACACCTGCTGGCAGTGAGGCAGCAGTAGTTGCAGTCCCCTGATTTCAGGGTCTCCATCTCTACTCTGTTCTTATGCAGGGGCTGAGCCAAACTCTTCCTGGGCACCCAGAATTGACCATTCTCTCAGGGACTCATGCTAAATAAATTCACTCATGGCAACTGCTGCATAACCCAGAGTACCAGTTGATTCATTTATGATGAAAAATAATAGTGCTAAACACATTATTTCCCACAGACAAACCTACAGGGGAAGCCAAATTATCAGCAGAATGTTGCCTGGTGAACTTGAATCAGAACAAATGAAGACAGATAAAAAATAATTATGCAATTATGTTCATGGGTCACGGTGCCTTCCCCCATAGACAGTGCAGGAGACTCACAAACACCTTATGTTTTCTGACTGTCCCCCACTTCTGCTCTTGACGAATGCCTTCTGTTAGTGCAGTTAATTCTCAGGCAATTGAATAAATTAGATTTAATCTTCCTTAATCATAATTGCATTCTAACCATGCCTCCCAGTCCTCTAGTCAATAATTTCTTATAAGTTTCCAGGGAGCCAAATTCCTACAGTGTGTTTTGGTTTTGTTTACTCATCTCTCTCAGGGTCATTTTGGGCCGTGATCTTGTGGGGGGAGGGAGAAGACATGTTAGTGTAGCTTCCACATAAAAACTCCAAGAGGATTCTAATTAATTAAAAATGACCAATTATTTGGATCCCCTTATCAGCCAGTCACCTCCCCCTCCAAAAAAGACCAATTATTGGTGCTACTTTGCAGACATCGAGGATCAGTAAATGGAGCATATATGTGTATTGTGAGCTCTAGACCTCTTCCTATTTATTGCAAAATCATATGCACATTGAACAGTGTCTATAAACTGATAAGTAATAGCATCTCCCACACGATTTGCAAATTGTGCAAATTCAAGTGTAATAAACAAAGTATGGATTATTTTACTGAAAGCATTACTGAATTCTTGGTAACTTTGGGTGTTGAGTATTTTCTCAATCTCTGGGTTCAAAAAGGACACTATCTTCTTGTGAAATTTAATTTATTTAACATGCCACGAACTGTTCTAAGCACTTTAAAAATATTAACTGGTTTAAGGCCAGCCCGTGGCTTACTCGGGAGAGTGCGGTGCTGATAACACCAAGGCCATGGGTTCGGATCCTATATAGGGATGGCCGGTTTGTTCACTGGCTGAGCGTGGTGCTGACAACGCCAAGTCAAGGGTTAAGATCCCCTTACCAGTCATCTTTTATTAACAACAACAAAATATATATATATATATTATATATATATATATTAACTGGTTTAATTTTCCTAACACTTCTATGAGGCAAGTGCTGTTATTTCTGTGTCACAGACAATGAAGCTGGGGGCAACGAGGACATGCAGTCATACAATTAGGAAGTGGTAAAACTGGGATCCGAACCCTGAGCCTGACTCCAGGACCTAAACTTGTTACCACTGGTTGTCCTGACTCTCTTTCTAAAGAAAGAAGTGTCTTCATGTATTGAGCACAGATTAGGACCTCTGACCGAAAATACAAGCACTGTCGAATGCACAGCTTGAAATTCCAAGTCAAAAGCAGCTACATGGCTGGCTGGTTAGCTCAACTGGTTAGAGCACAGTGTTATAACACCAAGGTCAGGGATTAGGATCTCCTCACCAGCCAGCTGCCAAAAATAAAAAATAAAAAAAGTGCAGCTAAAAATGTTGGTGTGGAGGTTTGGAGTGATGCAAGAAACTTAACCAAGCTTGTCCCAAAGAGTCAGCAGAATAGATGGCTGCATACACTATGTGTGTCGTTTTAAAATTATTATTTATTGTTATCTAAGAATATATACACAAGTTTAAAAGTCAAATTGCACTCAAAAGATTCTACAAAAACAGAAAAAGAGTTCTCAGTCACCATCTCCCCGAGCACAACATCCTATCACCTCTCTCTCCCTAGAGGCAGGCATCTCAACATTTTTAACAGTTTCTTCCACACTTTTGTCCCATATTTTAAATAATATGAATATATTATCTATTAGGGTACTTCAGAAAGTTTGTGGAAAAATAGAAATAAAAGGCAATACAAATCTTTCCATGAACTATTTGAAGTGCCCTCATATCTCTATTCAACTCTTTTAGAAATTTCTCTCTTTCCTATCGAGACATTAGGATTTTATCTCTTTTCTGTGTCCCCATCCTCTTCTTCTATCTTCCCAATAGTTACAATGCAATTTTTCATTAAATC